CAGACCAGGAGAGAGTTTTAATGAAAATCGGGTCAGGTAGCATGTTGATCGTCTAACTCATATTTGGAGAATGTCCTGCACAATCACTGTAGGATTGTGATTCACATCCATTGCCACTTGCCCACAGGACACTGCATCTCTCATTGTCAAAGTGCTACTGACCCAGGCTAGTTCCCCCTAAAGGAGAGAAATAGGGAAGTAAAATGTGTTTTGAAGTCTCATTATGTGCTGTGCACTTTTAGTTGCCATATTATACTGTTTCATTTGATCTTCACACTTTATGGGATAGTTACTACTATTATCTGTAAGTTGGAGACACCACATAGTAGAGGAGCTAAGACATTTGCTCAAGATCACCAGCAGCTAGTGGCACATACAGTCAGGCTAGGACTTGAACCCAGGCCTGGCTAAGTCCTAAACACAAATTTTTATCTGATAGGATAGTTGTAGAAATAACTGAGAACATACAGGAAGAGTTCTTAGCACTATGATTGTCTCAGAAACAGCAATAAATACTTAGTTGGATAGTATTGAATGATTGTCCAAGATTCAAGACCTGTACGTGGCTGAGGCAAGATGGAAACCAGAAAGTCTGCCAATTGACTCTGTTCCGAGCATTCCCAGCTGCTACTGGCAGAGATGCACAGGTAAACAAATACAGTAGAGAGAGAAAAGGCAGGATATCCCATTAAAAAATGTTCTTTTGATAGCTAAGCTTTGGAAACAATCCAAATGCCCCAAAATAGATGTCTGGATCAAGAAGATGTGGTACATATACACCATGGAATATTACTCACGGATGGAGCGGGAAGAGATCATGCTCAACAAAATAAGCCAGAAAGAAAAAGAAAAATACCGGATGGTCTCACTCATAGCAGGAATCTAGAAAACTAAATAAGGGACCAGGAAAAAGAACAACTATAAGAAAGCAAAAATCAAAATCAAAAAACAACTATGAACCAGAGACACACTATGGGGAGGGGGGGAAGGAGGGATTGGGGTCAAAATAAGGGGGTTGCAATTGTATGGGGAATATAAAAATAAAATTTTAAAACATATATTCAATTAAAAAAAAGAAATGATAGCTAAAGTTTCAAACAAATAATAAGAGGGGGTGCAATTGTATGGGGAATATAACCAAAATGAAAATGCATACATTGTGCAAAAATGAAAAATGATGTAAGAATTATATAAAATATCAAAAAAAGTTCTTTGTATGAGAGATAAGATCTTAAATCATACTAACCAGCAGCTATATAATACTGAATTATTTGTAGTGACTTTTGTTAATGCCAAATGAGAGATGGGCTTTCCAATACTACTTTAAGGCACCCATCAAGATAATTAAATTTGGACTAACAAGAAAAATAGCATTACTAGGTAAACTTACACAGCATTTATCGTGCATTAGACACTGTTTTAAGTGCTTTGCAGAATTAATTCACTTAGTATTCACAGCAACTCTGTAAAGTGAATATCATTGTTGTTCCTATGTCTTAGATGAGGAAACACTCTTAGAAAAGAGTGTGTGTAGGAAACATACAGAGAGGCTATAGTCATGGAAGCAGTGGCAGGAATGGGGCAGGGCAGGGATGGGGCAGCAATCCAGGCAGCTGGCTCTGGAGTTCCTGATCTTAACCACTCCACCACTGTCTCAGCAAGAAAAAAAGTGAAAGGTTGATTGCATTTTGGGACCTGATCACAAATGCTTGTGAACATTTTTCTTTCAGCCATTCTGAAATTAAGTCGGAAAGTCCCAGTGAAGCAAAATAAACAGCATTTGATTTCAGCATTGTAAAACAGAGGAAATTTTGATGGTGAGACAGAGGAAGCAACAATTAAAGAACTTCTCAGTACCAGGAAAGTCTGTTCAAGCCTGTGATCATCACAGGGGTTAATCTTTTCATTCATTAATCCAGGAAATCCTGTGCTACAGAATGCATTCCTAGACATTTACGTAAAAGATACACCTATTTTGTGGCGGGCATCTTTGTGCATAACATACACAAGCATTTGACAGAAGGACAAGTACTCCCTCTAGCACACTGTGTGAATAATTCAACAGGAACAAATAAAGCCATAGAAATAAGTCTGATAAAGACCCTGAGGCACAACAGTATAACTTCAAGGGCTGCTAGACAGCTGCATAGCACCTTCAGCTCCCCTGTTCCTGCTCTGACACAAAGATACGGCCAGTTCATGGCAGAGCAAGAGTGTGTGTAGAATGTGTAGTGCTGATTCCTAAGCCAAGCTGAACTATCTCACCAAGGAGAAAGAGGACATAGGTGAGACCTGAATGGAGACAAACTATTAGTGTCCTCTGCTATGAGAGCACGGTATTTTCTCAGGGTGAACAGATCATCCAAACATTTCCTGCTGCCTTTATGCCAGCAGCACCCAGATATTAATTGCAGTGCTCGGGCCTGCTTGCAGGAGGAATCCTCAGTTAAACCTCAACTGAACAAGTGGCATTTGTTGGACCACTCTCAGCTGGAGCTTCTTGTCAGCCTTGTGGCACATGATTGACTAGTATCCCCACCTGCAGCCTCATCCTTGCCAGCAAGATCTGTCCATCTGCCTGTAAAAGGAAGGTACTAACACTTTTGGTACTTTCATTTTGTCCCTCCATAGGCCAGATGGCGAAGGACAGAATTCCCTCTATTTTTTTTGAGATACACAAAGCAAGTGAACATAATTTCATTAGAAAGAACGACCTTCACAGGAAGTTTGCAGAGAACATTATACATATTTTTAAACTTACTATAGATGCAGCCTTAGCTCCAGGAAGGGGCACACAGGTCTCATGTTGCTTTGAAGAGGAGAGGGAAAAAAATCTTTACAAATTATTTTTAAACACCTGGAGACTGTGTCAATGTAAAGATTCTGTATTTTAGTTAGTCATAGGAAATATCCAAGAAATAAAGGTTAAAATGAGTGTGGTTTTAAGGAATAAAGTCATCAGTTCTGAGAGAACAAATTCTCTAAACTGTCCTTATCTCCACCATGTCTTTTAAAATGAGCCACGCTGCAGTTCATCAGTCGCAAGACAAGATCTTCAGCCGGCACTCTGCCCGAGGCTCTGTTTCCTTTTCCAAATAGATCAGCTCATTCTATTTTGAGCTAAATGTATTGTACAGTGTGTTTTGTTATTCACTCAATTTTAGCTTTAAATTCAGCTATTTTAAATGATGATGTAAAAAAATCACCTCTCTTTTACTATCCCATGAATCTTGTGGGGGTTGCTTGGTGAAAAGAAGATCAGCAAAAATGCCATTAACATTTTTTTTTTTTTTAGGGCTGTTACTTGAAATGGTCTTTATTTTCTTTTTTTTTAATAATAAATTTTATTTTTATATTCCCCATGCAATTGCAACCCCCCCATTCTGACCCCAATCCCTCCCATCCCGCCCCCCACCCCCAAAAAGTGTCTCTGGTTCATAGTTTTTTGTTGAAAAAATGCTATTAACATTTATCAAGCAGCGATTATGTATACTTCCCACGCCAGTCTCGGCACCCATGGCATTGCCTTTCTAGTCTTTACAAGTATTGGCCATAACTTCGATAAAAAACTTAACCTGGGAGGGAGGGGGAAGAGCAAAGGTGGACGACAGTGGAGGACAGTGGGTGCATTGGCATACAAGGTGTCCTGTTGTGACAGCACTTGAAGTTGTGACCCCAAATCTCTAAATCACATATTGTAAACCAATGTCACCTCAATAAAAAGAAAGAAAGAAAGAAACTTTACCAAGGTCACACAGTTAGTGGCAAAGTGGTAGCACCAAGGAATGAACCCAAGTCTGACACACAAGATAATTTTTGTAAACATGTTGGGATGTGGAATAGAAGTTGTTTTCTCTTCCAGTGTGATATAGCACTATAAAAGCTTTTACTTTATTGCACAAAGAATAATCTATTTGTCCCTCAAATAGATATAAAATTTATTTAATAATATTTGACTCCAATTGTATGGAGTCAAATGTTTCACTTTCCTGTATGGAAAGTGAAAAAAATTCAGGCAGCTATCTCAGCACCTCATCAAACTAATACCAAGTTCTTACAAACATACAAATGCTTAGGTGACTGAAAGGGATTTTTCTTTGCACCTGGTTGCATGCCATCCTGGCATCAGAGAGAGCACAATTCTAGAAATGAAGATGACAGTCTGACTATATTTTCTGATTTAAAACCACAGCATGCAAACTGATAAGATATGTGTGTCTGGTGGGGGATAATAAGGCATGATATTTGAAACCAAACCTGAGAAACCAGAAACTTGTAACTATTAATAGTTAGAATCTGTGGGTCTCTGTGCCAATGCAATGGGGCAAATGAACACACCAGGAGTAAGAAATTATCTTAGTTAGCCTCCATAAAATCTTGCAGGAGTGGGCAAACATCCTCTCTGCAGAAACTGAGCTGTTTTCTATTCAAATGATGCCCACGGAGGACCCATTTTCTTGCAGCACAATAAAAGCGACGATGGAATGCTGCAATCCTTTACTTGTCAACATTTTCTTAAGTCAGTTTTCTCAATGTGCACACTCCATTGAAGCAAGTGGTAGTATTTTATTTAGCAACATTATTCAAGAGTAACCAGAGTCAGGTATAACCCCATAATGTAACATTACCTACCCAAGCACTGATGCACTTCGCTAACCTTAACTTAGAAAGAACAGGCTATTTATTCACCATCAGTATGGCATCCAGAGCATTTCTGCTAGTAGTTGTGATAAATTTGTACTTAACTATTTATAACATTTGCCCAATTCTCTTTTCTTACAGTGAGAAAATGATTTGAAGAAAATTGGCAAAACTATGACTTGATTACCATATTTTAATTCGGTTGCTGTTCTATAAAGTCTCTAGTGAGCAAATCTAACTACATCGTTTCATTTACCATCATCCATTTGACACTATCTTACTAGGACTGACAAGGGAAAACATTGCCTCTAACACTTCCTGACAGATAAACAAGAAATAACATGAGTAAGGTGTCTTACCATCAGTACTCCAGATACCCAGGTATCGGTCTAGGAAGAGGACCCAAAACAATTTCCCAATTCCAAGCATGGCAGATGATAGCTTCACTTCCTATGCATATCAGGACTGGGAAAACTCAGATATCAGTCTTCCCTTTTTCACCTGAGTTCTTTAGGGTTGGATCAGTAACATACCACAGCAACATCTGTGAAATAAATGAAGAGAAAGGACATAAGAGAGGACAGTAGGAAGAGCCAGAATTGTTTTGTGAAACAAAATGAAGAGAAAGACAACGTGATACACTGTTCTGTGGTTTTGCTTCTTGTCAAATTGACTGTTCACTTTCAAATGCTCTGATCTGCAAAGCAGCTCCTTGTTTGACTTCTCCTTCCGTTTACTACCCTTTGTGCCCCACACTGAAGCTTTTCTCATTCAAAATTTAGTGAAATGAACAATTAAACTGTAAAGAAATCTGTATTGTTGCCATTTTTAGGTTGAGATTTTAATCAAATCAAAATCAGGAAAATCATGGTAAAAAGTACCTATGGCAAGCATACATTTTCCCCCTTCTGATATCTTATGATTATGAAACTTCTTTTATGTAAAAGAATTTGGGTTTTTCTTCCCAACCATCAAATCATGTCAAGATGAAAACGCCTATTGTCATTAAACCAGTGGAGATTTACTTGAGGTTATGGAGCAAATGAGTGACAGGAAGCACTTCCTCAACAGACGTGGGAAGGGCAAATGTCTTTAATCTCTAGATAATTATCAATGGAACAAGATCATTGCTAATATTGGCTACATGTTCTCTTTAAATAATAGTTTCAAGCTACAAGATATCTTGAATATCTATTAAGGGAAACTTCCATTTCCAAATTCTTCATGCAGTTATTTTCTAATTTAAATAAAATAAAGGCAATTTAGGAAGAAGCAGGAAATCTCAAAATCAGAAAGCTCGGGTCGATAAAAAACTGTTTTCTCTGGGCTAATTGTAATAATTAACTTACCTTCTGGTTATAGAAGCCAATCCATTTGAGATGCCAATGAAAAATCCAGATTTGTGACATCTGTGATCATCGACAGAAGTTTATTTTGTGAGTCCTTCTCTCAAAGGCTGGTGATATTTTTTCAAGGTCATACTTCAATGGTTTTAGGCACATAAGGTTAAAAATTAGTTACTGTAGGGCTTCCCTGGTGGCGCAGCGGTTGGGCGCTGGGTTGCGGGGCTGCCCGCGGCCTCTGCGGCGCTGGTTCGGTCCCCGGCTGCTCCCCGGCCACCGGAGGGGGGTCCCACACGGCGCGCAGGCCTCTCCTGCCGCCCGCTGCTCCCCTCAGCAGTGTGCTTTGGTCCTTCTGCCTGCTCTGCTCCCCGCTCTGACTCTGGTGAGTTCTCTCGCCCTCCCGCGCTTCTGACTGTGCCCAGTGCTTATATAAATAAATAAATTAATTAAAAAAAATAGTTACTGTATATTCATGGATTCAAATGGACATTGTGTGATGGCTGAAATCATAAGATGACTGAATAACTGTGCCTGATTTTGAAAAGCTCAGTCAACCAAAACTGTAATTTCCTCTTATCAGTCAAGTGTTGGAATTTAAATATTCATACAATTCAACTACTACGGGGTCACATAGAGCAATGATACATAACTTCTTAGCCCTTCAATTACTTATTAACATCCTGAGAAACATTTATACACCATTTATACAGCTTTATCCTCCTGTGTTCAAGGTGGGGTGCAAACTTCCTGTGGTGACTGAGACAAGGCTCATGTTCCCTTTAAAATAGTTCCAGAGGTGGGCATCCCTGGTGGCCAAGGGGTTAAGCATCAGCACTATGAAGCTATCAGCAGCCACTGCAGCATGAGTTCAATCCCCCGCTAGGGAGATGACCCACATGGCGCAGCAGACCTCTCTTGTCTTGCCTGCAGCTCCCCTCAGCAGTGGATTTCAGTCAGTCTGCCTGTTCTGTTCCCCATTCTGTCTCTAGTGAAACCTCTCACTGACTGACTGATGGTCCTGTTTATGTCTTCAGCGCTGGAAGGAGTCAGCATTGAAAAACCCAAATAATATATACCTAAATTGCACAACATAGTGGCTTGAAAGGAAAGTCCAGGTCCAAGGGAAGCATATTGTCCTCATCCTTTGAACAGGTTTTTAGCTGTCTGCTCAGCAGCCTTGTAGGATGTTCCCCTGCCCGTTCCATGAGCATTTCTCCAAGTGATTCAGAAAAAATGTTCTCCAGTAACATATTTAAACAGCTCAGTAATATTCCTTCTTGTAACTATGGTACTATTTAGTCATTTTCTTATTATAGGACATTTATGTTTGTTGAATTTTTCACCTAAAGATAAACATTTTTGTTCTGTAACATTTTGGATGATTTCCCAAAAGTGAAATTACATTTGTGTTACGAACATTCTTAGCATTCTTGAGCTTACTGCTAAATGACTTACCAGAAAGACAAACATACATTCCTAGAGGCAAGTAATGGGTATCCAGACCTGGTAACTGTACCCTTACTATTAGGAGTATCTTACTGAGAACATTACACTTTAAAAAGTAAAACCTTCCAATTATTCTGGACTTTTATGCCTAATGGGGACGAACAGACTAGGGGGTCTTTTATTATCTGTGAATTTTTATTCATGCACAATTAACTCCTTACCAAAATATTGGAGTCTTAGTTTTCTTACTATTTTTCAACTTCAATGGTGTATATATTGAATATATTAAACTGTTGACACATTGTGTTATATTTTCTGCACATCATTTTTGCTTTTTAACACTTTAATGTAGTTTTTGACTGAAGTTGCCTCTTAAAAATGTATGCCTATATGCCAATTTTGTTGCTTTTAAATTAGAAAAACCTTTTCCAATGACTTCTAATTAAGATTTCTAGGTGAACTGGTACAGCAAGTTTCTCAAATGTGTCCACATCATAAGCTCTGGAAATCAGGAACCCCATTACCTTATAAGGCAAGTCATTTGCACTTTTGATTAAATTAAGGATCTGTGTTTATCCAGGTGGGCCCCATGTAATTACAATAAACCTTAGAAGAGGGACATATAAAGAGTCAACATCAGAGGAGAGGGCAATGTGACAACAGAAACAGATGGAAGTGGCCACAAACCAAAAACATGCTAGCAGCCTCTAGAAACTGGAAGATACAAAAATTAAATTCTAGAGCCATCCGAAAGAACCAATCCTGCCAACTTCTTACTTTTAGCTTTATAAAACTCATCTTGGATTCCTGATCTGATCAAGAACTGTAAGAGAACAAATTTGTATTCTTAAGCCACTTGGTTTGCAGTAATTTTTTATGCTGGCAACAGAAAGTAGTGAGTGTTATTTTACTTTCCTTTCTCAGCAAATGTTAAAAGATCTAAGTCCAGGGTCTCCCTGGTGGCACAGTGGATTAAGCACAGTGCTGTGAAGCTGTCCGCAGCCTCTGCAGCACCGGTTTGATTCCTGGCCAGCCAGGGAGTTTCCCACATGGCACAGCAGACCTCTCCTATCTTGCCTGCTGCTCCTCTCAGCAGTGTATTTTGTCAGTCTGCCTATTCTGTTCCCCGCTCTGTCTCTGATGAATCCTCTCACCCTCCCACCCTCTGGCTTGTACCCCAGTGCTTGTATAAATAAATAAATCTTGGAAAAAAAACCAAACATCTATGTCTAGTAGTCTTACTAATACAAAAAGAAACTTGTGTCACTATAAAGCTTTTAAGGAATTTCTTTTAGAAAATCTGTAAATGATCTTAAACCATAAGAAGCTATGCCATTCTTCAGCCAACTAAGTGTCCTGTGATATTTACCTGGTAACTACCAAGGACACCAGGCAGTTCATCCCTAACTTTTCTCTGGAAGAATGACAGGTCAAAGGGCTATTTTAGGATTGTATTATGTGAATTCTGCACAATTTGTATGAGTTCAGCTCTATATATCAGAAAAGCCCAAAATAGTGATGTCTTTAATAAAACAGAAGACTGCTTCACATGCACATGAGGCTTAAGGACAAGTGGAATAGGGCTGATATTGTGGCTCCTCATTCATCAATGACCCTGCCTCCTTCCATCTTCTTGCTTCACTATCTTAGCTCTGATATTCACCCTCCAGGTCCATGGTCCAAGATGGATAGTCTCAACACCAATATCATCTGAATTATAGGCTTTCAAGAGCTGGCTTCCATTGTCAGGCGAAGAACACTTAAGGGACTTGTTAAAAAAAAAAAAAGAGTTGAGATCAGAACCTTATCTTCTAAGTCTGCAATTTTATAGTCACCACTGTTGGAGTGACTGATTTTTTTTAAAAGACCTTTTTTTTTTTAGCAGTTTTAGGGTTCACAGAAAAACTGAGTGGAAACTATAGAGTTCACCCTTCCCCCACACATGCAGTCCCTCTCGCCATCCACATCCTGCACCAGAGTAGTTCACTTGTTACCATAGATGAACCAATACTGAGAGATCTTTATCAAAATGGATTTTTGACAAATGAGATTAGATGAAAAGTTGATAATCTGGAAGGGGTAAGAATAACTGAGTGTCTGAGCTTGAGAGGCTGGAAAGAACTATGACTGGGGAGGAGAGAATTTTGTGTTTTATGAGCTTGAAATAAAGTTGACTATGAGGAACAGAGTAACTGAGAAACTGAATCAGAGGAGCTGGGGCAAGAAACAGAATTTTGTGAAACAGGTCCAGAGTTGACTCTGTGAATAAATGAGAATGCAAGGGAATGTGAAACAAGACAAGAAGGGAAACCAAGACAAACCCTTGAGACTGCTATTAGTGATTGTAGGGGTGAGGGAGGAGGATGGAGGAGAGGGAAGAGACGCTGTGCTATCCTGCTCATGCCAGTCTCCAAGCACCCAGGCTGCCCCACAGTAAAGATTAGATCAACCTAACCACCTCCCCCGGAGACCAGTCCACAGATGGCACATCATGGAGCAGGGCTTTCCAATATAAACCTGGTGAAAGACCAGGTTTTTCTTTCCAATTTGTTGCGATCAACACTTTTGTGAAGTCAGTAATGATTACCAATAATAAAAGAAGACCAAGGGCTTGGATGTCGTGACAATGTCAAATTTCTGTAAAATTTCTGCAAACTTACTTTCCTTTTCTGTATTTACCTTGCGGTCAATGAAAAATAAACACCAATACGTGTGCATAGGACGAAGAGGAACTGACACCAGGACAGGATATTATTCATGGCTCTGTAGTTAGTGCTTTACAAAAACATTGGCAAGTTTCTTCATTTCTCTGGGCCTACATTCTCTTGTTTGTAAGGTAAGGCAATTAAATTTGTGTGGTGCTTAAATGTTAGTTGACACAGAAAGCACCCAGCTAAAATTTCATTCTGCCCATTCCTTGTCTAAAGGAGAGCTGTTTGTTCCCCTGTGAATATTTTTCATGCTCTCTAGTATTTTGAGATGTATTGTGTTTTGAGATTGAAAAGAAAAGCAAATACAGGGAGCCAGATTTTCTGCAAAACCATTCTAGGCTAATTAAATTGTCTCTAATCATGATAGGTAAAAACCACAGGAAATCTAAAATAAAAAGAGTTCTGAACCACAGACACCAGCTTATGTAACAGGATCCACGACTCGCTAGTTCAGGATTTTAGGCTACCAGCACATTGCATAGATCTGAGTGCACATTTCCACACTTCCCAGCCACTTTGTGATGGACAATGGCTTTTCTCATTCATCTATCATGTTGTTAATGCCAAATATGACAGGCACTCAACTGATGCCCAACAATTGTTTCTAAAACAAATAAATGAAAATGACTGATTTCCTTCAAAATCTTTTATCTGAATTTAATATTACAAGTTTTTTTTTCATTTTTTTCTAAAGATTTATTTATTTTTATACAAGAGCTGGGGTACAGGTCAGAGGCGCGGGAGGGTGAGAGGATTCACCAGAGACAGAGCAGGGAGCAGAACAGGCAGACAACAGAAATACACTGCTGAGGGGAGCAGCAGACGAGGCAGGAGAGCTCTGTCCTGCCATGTGGGAATCTCGCTGGTCGGCCGGGATCGAATCCTCACTGCAGAGGTTGTGGACAGCTTCACAGCGTGGCACTCAACCCGCTGCGCTGCCAGGGAGGCCTTTTTTTTTTTTTTTTTTTTTGAAATTCAGTATCCCTCCAACACTAATTCTGTGAAGAAATT